ATAGATTTCATAGATTTCATAGACATCAGGGCTGGAAGGGACCTCGGAAGATCATTGAATCCAGCCCCCTGCCCAAAGGGCAGGAAGTCAGCTGGGGTCATAGGATCCCAGCAAGATAAGCATCCAGTTTGCTCTTGAAGGTGTTCAATGTAGGCGCTTGAACCACCTCTGGTGGCAGGCTGTTCCAGACCTTGGGGGCTCGGACAGTAAAGAAATTCTTCCTTAAGTCCAGCCTGAAACAGTCCTGTAGTAGTTTATGACCATTCGACCTAGTCGTCATCCCTTGGGGCACTCTGGTGAACAAATGTTCCCCCAGATACTGGTGGTCACCCCTGATAAACTTATAGGTGGCCATCAGATCACCCCTGAGCCTGCGCTTTTCCAGGCTAAAGAGCCCCAGGGCTCTCAGCCTGTCATCGTAGGGTCTGCTTCCCTGACCTCTGATCATGCGCGTGGCTCTTCTCTGGACTCTCTCAAGCTTCTCCACATCCTTTTTGAATTGTGGAGCCCAAAACTGGACGCAGTACTCCAGCTGTGGCCTCACCAAGGCCAAGTACAAGGGGAGAATGACGTCCCAGGATTTGCTTGAGAAGCATCTATGGATGCAAGCCAGCGTTTTGGTCGCTTTACTAGCTGCAGCATCGCACTGAGGGCTCATGTTCATCTTGTGGTCAGTGATGACCCCCAAGTCTCTTTCCTGCATAGTGCTAGCCAACATAGCACTGCCGAGCCTATAAGGATACTGCGGGTTTTTCAAATGGGCTCTTGCCATGCTGAAGCTCATCCAGAGATTCCCCTCCTAGCTCCTTGCAGAGGCTGCTTCTTCAGCAGTATTTTCTTCTTAGAGTGGCAAGTACTTCAAGGTGTGACTTGCCACAGATCTGCCCTCCTTTGGCTCCACCAAAGGTTTTTCTGTCAGGATATACTCCCCTAGCCTTCTCTTATCAAAGGGTGACCCACAAGGCAGGTGGGATCTAGGGTTTTCAGGTAGCCTATACTTGCCTTTCCCTGGGGTGGCAGCATGTGGCATTTTGTAAAGACTACCCTCCCACAAGTAGTTCCACCACATTAACCAGTCTCAGGAGAGTGTAGTTTTCAGGTCTTACCCAAGACAAATCTTCAGGCTTTTCTGCCCTGGTCATCTTCACCCCCCATGGGCAGTCTCTCATTTCTGGGCTCCCTAGCTCCTTCCTCAGGTTAGCTGATATCTCAGGCTCCTAGCTCTGGCAGTTAGCAGAGCTAAGGTTTCCTTCAAACTTCTGACCTCACTAGGGCCCCAAATATGCATTGTCAGGCCCCTTGGTCTTTCAGTGCTCTCCCCTTTGGGCTATGGTCTTCTGGACCCCTTCAGTCTCTAGACGTGTCCCTCAGACTTTGACCCCTCTCTGGGTCCTGGCCCCACTCCTGGGCCAGTGAGACTTTGGCACCTTGAAGCACTAACACTTGCCTTTCATGGACTGCAGACCTTTGGCTTTCTAGCCTCACCAATACCTGGCCCTTCTCAGATTGTCAGACCTCTCATCAGATTTCTCTCTCTCTCTCTTGGCTCCACTCTGAACCCCTGGACCCACTCTCTCCTGGCCCCTCCTAGGCCACAAGTCATTGACTCTGCTTCACACACCTCTTTTAGATTGTGAATCTCTGGTTTTCAATGCTCTCACAAACTTTGGCTGGGCCCTGCTCTTTGGTCTCCACTTTCAGTCCTTCTCTGGGCTCTGTGGGTCTGTTCTCTCAAGCTGTTTCATAGATATCTCAGTATATCTCTCTAGCAGTTCTCTGAAGTCCCCACACTCTCTTCTGGGTCTTAACATTCACTCTATGGGTCTCCCTTAACTTTTAGCCTTTCTTTCCCTTGACAGACCTTTATAACTGTGATGTCACTGCTTTAACCATATTATTTCTGGGTTGCAGGCTTCACAATCCATGCTCATTAGTGACAGTTTGTGACAGTTTCCTCAAAACGTACTGTGTCTGCCACAGGAAAGTAGTAATCAGACACACAGGGTGGAAAACTGAAGACATGTACCACAATGTTCCATAACATGAGATCAGGGACTCTGCCACATTGGGTAGATCACAGTGTCCAGCTTTAGAGCCCTTTCAACTTATGGTTTTGGGAGGCAGACCAAATTGGGAAAAGACCAGTAAAGCCCAAATTAGGATACATGCACGTGATGGGTCTGTGAAACAAAGGAATATGCTGACAGGACAGAACGTGGGCAGTTTGACAACCACAGGGAATTCAGTCAGTTATGCCCAAAGACGAAGAGTCATCAGAGGACAGAAAGAATAAAAAAGGAGGGATTTTAGAGAAGCAAAGGGTGCCTGAGAGGAAAACTTGAGGCCACTATGGACAGAGGGCACACAACCATCCCATCCCATCCACCACCCTAGGGTGGAGGAGGTGGTGGGCCTCAGCCTCTGACCTCCAGGCTGCTGACATTTGACATTCCAGAGAGAATCTCAGAATGAAGTTCGCATACTGTCCAGATGTACCCTGACTCTATGAACCCTGGGACTGGTAGCTATAGAATTGGTTGCATTATTATTATCTGTTATCACCGTGCATCAATAAAATTTGCATATTATCTAAAGGACAACTCATGTTTGGTCTGAGGATTTTGAGTCCTCCAGGAACAAAGTATCTGGGTCATAAATCCAGTGCCAACAAGTGGGTGGCCTGCAAACTGCAGAGGGATTGGCAGGAACAGATTTACTGTGTCTAGCACTTGGAGCTCAAGGAGAAGAACTAACTTTCAGGAGAAGTGGTGCTGGCTCCTACCCTGGGGGTCTTTAAGAGGAGGCTAGATGAACACCTTGCTGGGGTCGTTTGACCCCAGTGCCCTTTCCCCACCTCTTTCCTGCCATGGCAGGAGTTCGGACTTGATGATCTGCTCAGGTCCCTTCTGACCCTACCAATTATGAAACTATGAAACTATGAGAGACATGTTTCCCTCTTCAAATGGATGGTGGATGGCCAGAAATGGCAGGCCTTGGTGGTTGCCAAGGTGGTGGATGTCCAGGTGGCTCAGGCAGTGGTGGCCACGGAGGAAGATTACCAGGTGCTTGACTATATCCTGGTCCTGGCTCCTTCCTTCATGCCATCCATTACTCAGACACCAGTTCCATCTCTTCCTGCCACCTGGCAGCCACCCATTGGCCAGCCCCTGGCCCCAGCCATGCCTTCTGCCTGGCAGCCACCCACAGCCAAGCCACCAGCCCTGGACCTGGTCTCTGGCTAATGGGCATAAGAGAAGGTCCTGTGCCAGGTGCAGTGGCCAGGGCACCCTACCTCTGCTCCCATGCTACTTCCCCCAACATCTAGGCCCCCACCTTGGCTGGGGACCCTGGTACCTCTCCCACCATGTGGCATCTGTGCTGAAAATGGCCCTGGCCAAGGCCAGCCCCATAAAGGAGGAGGGGGAGCAGACTGGCCAGCAAGGGAAGACTGGCCCTTACCCTTGGCCAAGCCCCCAGCCACCATCCTCACCATGGTGTTCAAACCCATGGTGGTGCTAAGAGAGGCCAGGGTTCCAGGCACTTCTCTCTAAGTTCTATACCATAGGCACCACCAGCCCACTATTCCCTACTCACATACACCAACTGCACTGCAGTACAGACTTTCACAAGGAAGAGGGTGGTTTTTTTTCCTTCTTTTTCTTTCTTTCTTTTTTTTTTTGTGTGGTGAGCATTGATGTTTGGGGAGATGTTGTGGGGAGGGGGATAAGGAGAGAATAAGCTGTTGGGGAGAGCAGGATGGGGGAGTGTACTGTTGGAGAGGTGGGGGTGGGATGGTCTGTGCTGTGTTGGAGGGAAATAAAGCTTGTTGAATGGAAACTAAAGTTTGTTGAATGGAACTGTCTGTGTGTAGTATTGGGAGAGTATTGTGGGCCTGGGGCCTGCGGGGAGTGGCCTAGGCACCCTATTGTGTGTGGTGGGAGAGAAGGTGTCCTACAGGTTCCTCATAGACATGCTGCCCTGTCTGCCACTGCAGGGAGCTGGGGAGGTGGGGAGAATCCATGGTGCACTTGCTGTACCCTGATGATTCCTGAAACAAGATGTTACGCTCCTATAACAATCTCTTGTAGGCTCTTCACTGTTCCTAGAGAGGCAGTAGCGGGGGAGGGGGGACACCAAGTTTCACCCTCACTTTCCAATCATGAATTCTCTGCCACTGCCTGAGCAGGTGTCTGGTAACGTACCCTGTCTCTTTCTGTGCCCTCTGCTGCCTCTGTTCTCCTAGGCACACAGGATCCTGAAGTATCTGCCTCAGTAAAAACACACAACTGCTCTTGTAACCATCTACACAGAAGACTGTAACTGTTAATTAATACATTTCTATACTTCTTATAACCTTCTATTCAGTATACAACCTCTGTTTCCACACTTTAAAGTCCACTTGCCTTAAGTCACACAATATATCTTAAAATCCATGGTCATCAACCACACAACACCTAAATTTTGTCTTCTAACCCTCGGGTACAGCTATAGCCAAGGATTAGTGGTAGGAACGTAGGTCCTAAACTCCCCCCCTATTTTCATGGGTAATCTACAGCTGAGAGACTTCTATAAACTTATTTCTATAAACTTGTTTCTAACTCATGTCTTCTTTCTCCTAACAAAAACATCTCTGAATCTCCTAATTGGTGATAATCCAACTTCTCCCATAAGCTTGAGGAATTCTACAGCCCAAATTGTGCACATGAAAAGAATAATAAACATGGAACTTCCTCTGTATCCCCCCCCTTTCACAATTCTCCACAACTTAAAGGTTACACAAATTGCCAATTGTTCAAATCAGAAGCAAGACCTTACGAGGAAGTTTAAGGCACCACCCAGGAAGGATAAGGCAAGATGCTGCATTTATTAAGCATGCAGTTGTTTGGGTTTTTTGCTACAATGTGTAAAGGGTCTTATATCACCCTTAACCTTTCCAGTTGATACAAAAACTCACCTGCCGCAACTTTGATGGTAAGTATTCTGGTTTTTATTTATTACAGGGTTTTGTACAGACTTTCCTTGATGGGAGGATATTCATCATGGCACAGGGCAGAAGATTTTTACGAATGTGAAAAACACATGATGGAAAAGTTGGAACTCCACCATCCCCTGCACCCCAACCTCACGCCACCTGACACCCAGGATTCCTTTTCAGGTCAGGGTGTTAATGCAAAATAAAACAGTCCAAAAACACTGAGCAATCAAAATAAAGTCCAGACCAAAATATAAGCATATAAAATAAAGTCCTGTTTTAACCACTGTCTGTGGCTCTTCTTATGTTTAGATCTATATTGCTATTTTTTTTCCTGCATCCCAGTAATTGCCACCAGGCTGCCACACTCTCTGGCTAGCATCCTGTATGTCTCTTATCCAACTGTATGGCTCCTATTGGCTGCTAGCTTCAACTGTTGCCCACAGGCTCATCCCTCCTTCATCCCCTTCCTCCCTGGAATTCTTCACACCCTGCTTCCTGGATGTTCTTCACACTTCTGTTCTTCAGGGTGCATCTGTGTCCACTCCCTCTTCTCCCTGTTTGGCTCTGGCATCAGTCTGTTGGGTTTTTTTATGGACACGCCCCCTGGGTGTTCCCTCTCTCACTGCCCTTCTTGGCTTCTCTCCTCAGCTCGGGGCATCCCCCCGTGTCTCCCCAACTCAGGGCTGCAGGCTTTGCTACCCAGCTCATGGTTTCTCTTCACATAACTCCTCAGCTTGGAGCTGCTTTGAGTGGAACTCTGCTGGCTTGTCTGCAGTCAGCATTCACTCCCAGACAGCACTCTCCTCTCTCCTGTCTCCCCACATTTCCAGGCAAGCCCAGGGGAGGCTGGTTTCTCTGCAGAGAAAACAGTCTCCTGCTGTGTCTCTCTTTCACAGACTATCACAGACCTATGGTAATTTAAGTCTGCCATTTGTGAAATTCTACCTGTATTTTCCCATCAACTGCCTGAATTAATCATTTAAAAAAAATAAATAAAGATCTAGAGTGATTAGAAGGAATATGTACAGATTTGTCCTAGCCAGGCAGAGTCACCAGGAAAAAGTTCAGTTAATGTAAAGAAGATGAAGCTTTATATTATCCATCATGGTTGCTCAAAACAAAATAAAGACACCAATTGATTTTATGTTAGAAGGTAATTAATTATTGTGCAAGCCATGGTTTAGAGTTTAAAGGCCACATTACTATAACTGGAACCTCTGGCTGTGTCAGCAGCCTTTGGCAGGTGAGAAATGTTAAGGGTGGCATGCTGAATGCCTTGGACAGGTACTATGTACTAAAAAATAGATGTAATTTGTAATAAGACCATGAAAGATACAGAGAGGCTTGAGGACTGGCAAGAAAGTAAAGCATAAAGTAATATAAATTAGGATTTACTAAAGGGGGTGGTGTGTCATACCACTTAGACCATGGGTTCAAGATGTGGATGGAGCCTCTAGCCTATCAGGGAACACTGGGGATCTGGGCAGGCAGCAGTTACAGGAAGATGGGGTTGTGAAGGGATGGGGGGACCTGCTCACTGACCACTACCACCACTGTCTCCAGTTTACCCAAGGTTGCAGGAAGCCCCAAAGACGCTCCTGCCATTCTCCAGTCAGGTTGGTGTTCAGGTTGCACTTTCCAGTGCTTTCTCCCTGCTTGCCCACTGGTTGTTCCCTGACCTAGCTGGGAGAACAGGTGCTGGAAGGAGGAACCCATGTGCAGCTGTCCCTGTCCCCTCATCAGCTTGACACTCTGCACAGCTTCTCCCTTCAGCCCATGACTGGAATAGGTCAGGCGTGGATCTGGGTGCCCTCCATTCCTGTGTAATCTGGAGATAGCAGTTTCAGTAGGCAGGTTCCTTCTTCCAGCCACTGGACAAGCCACCTGCTTCCAGCCACTGGGTGAAATGAGGAGGGGGAGTGTCAGGGATAAGATACAGGATGAGGACCCTCCCCCTGTTGCTGGTGTCCCCTGCCAAGCCTGGCACTCTGCCCAGCCTCAGTGACATCTGGAGCAGGACAGGAGTGGTTCTGGGGTTCTCTTTGCACCTGGGTTAGCCAGGGATGGTGGCAACAGAAGCAGGGGCATGCAACCACGCTGCTGTACTAGTATACTGCTGTACTTGATACTATTATAACTGTAGTGACTTTAGTTGAGTTACTCCTTATTTATCCCAGGGTGAGAGAATAACCAGGACCAATATTCCACACAAAACATTTTGGGCCAGATCTCGAGCTGTCAAAATAATTGTGATTCTCCTACTGAATGTGAACTATTCCTATTTACAAAAAAAAATACCAATATTTGTACCAATGGGTCATACCCAGTTCATTCCCCCTTTCAGCATCCACTCTCAGCTACTGTGAAACAGGACTATTTGATGTGCCAAGGGTCATGGGCTTTGGCTGATCACAAATATCTATAAGCCTCCCTTAAGAAGGGAGTCCACTTGGGACATATGAACTAATTACTCGGAACGATACAAAAGAAAACAGGAATAGGAGTGAGGTAACAAGTTAATAACAAGGAATTCTGAAGAAGGTACCTAGCAGAGCACAAATAGTGGTCTCCCTTAGTCAGCTGAACCAAGGGGACCCCAAGGCATAATTTAGCTCCTCTCCCAATAAGTCTCTCACGCTAGGTACAAAGGAGAATGTTATTGGTTACAAGGAGTAGGTTTGTAATAGGGTACAGGGAAGAGCAATATCAAAGAAATCCCATAGAGAAAACTGTCATGGCTGGGTAGCATTTTATCATGCATCTGAGTTACTGCAAGCTGTATATCTAGTTAGATCTCAGGTAGCTTACTCACAAGTACCATCCAGAGGCAGGTGGAGATTCCCTCCAGAGGCAGACAGTTCATTGATCATGAGTTTGAAGAGAAAGAGCAAGTTTCAGATGGTCCACCTCTTCTCTCTGAGTTTTCATCATGGCTACTGCTAGGACCATTCTCCGTTGTACATAGGGCACCTTCATCACCATCACCACCAGCTGCAAGTATTTCAGGAGGGGCTCAGCAAGGAGGTTGGTGCCCTGGGTGACTGTTTCTGGAGATCTGGAAGTGGATACTAGCATTCAGGCCCTGATTAGGTATTGATAGAAATCCAGAAGCTCCTCCAGGTCCTTCTTGGGGAGCCCTCACAGATAGAAGAACTGCTGATCCTACTGGAACCCTCAGAGGTGGAGGAGGAAAGTGAAACTGATCAGGCATCACATAACTTAGCTACCTGCACTGTACAGAAGCTTCTGCAGGGCCTGAAGGTGGAAGGTGTGAACCTGGCTGTGGAGGCAGACCAGGCCTTGCCCATCCTCCCAAAAAGGGGAAGCTCAGGATACCCACAGAGACCCAGTGTCACCCCAGCCAGAAGAACCCCAGTGCCTACCTCTGGAGACTGGCAAGGATCTCCAGCGGTATGGCCAGGGTGCTGAAGCAGTGCCAGAACATGGACAGAACCAGCTGGTTGATGACTGGTACCCTCCCACAAAGGGAGAGACTGAAGCAGGTCCACCCATGCCTGAAGCCACTCCAGCACCCTGACCTCCAGCTGTTGCCAGTTCTCCAGTGGGGAGGAGTCCCTGGGGAAAAGGTGAACCCAAGGTACAGCAGCAAGCCCCGACCCCAGTGGATGCCCTGGAGTGCAAGTGGGAGTGATTCCACCTGCTACCCATTACCACTGCCAAGCCAGAGCTCTTGACTCAGGTGACCCAGGCAGAGAAAGCCACTGAGTAGATGGATTGGAAGGCCTCCACCTGCTCCAGGTTATCTGGGTCCTGAATGGTGAGGAGCACATTGTTGACATATGCTGATAGAAACACACTCATGGGTGGTTCCTCGAGCACCAGCCCTGCTACCCACTTGTGCAGGAGGCAGAGGAAGGGCTCAAGAGCAATGGTGTAGGGTTGGCCTGACAGCAGGCAACTTTGATGCATGCCCCAGTTAAAGTGAATGGGTTCCATTATCATCCAGTTGAGCTTGACCATAGACTCTATAAAGGTGTACAGCACCTGAAAAAACTACACACAGCAGGGATCCAAGCTGAATGTCCTCAGCATATCTGTGAGATAGCCATGATCCACCATGTCAAACACCTTCTGGTTGAGGGATAGGAGGGCAAATGACAGGCCATCTCCCTGTGAACAAGCTCAAGGAGGTCCTGCACCAAGTACAGGTTGCTTACGATGAAACACCCTGGAAAAAAGGTAAATCTGGTCAGCGTGAATCATATCCAACTTCAGGCACAATGAAATGGATTTCACTATGACCTTATATAGTTCATACAGAGGAGTGAGACTGAGGGTTAGTCCCTCAGGTCAGCTTTTTGGGCAGCAGGGCCAGAACAGGGACCTCCCACATGAAAGGATGAGCTCCCCATCCCTTTTGGATTCCCCAGAAGGTGTGGTAGAACTCCATAAAGCTCTTCCTGGCTCTCCTAACACTCTTCACAGAGGGACAGGTTGTCTGGGTCTGTAAGCAGGCACCTCTCCAGCTCTAGCACTTCCCTCTCAAGCTGCTTTCGAGCTGCTTCCTACTGTCTGGTGTGCCCCCTGGTGTAGCAGTGAAAGTACTTCCTGACACAAACATTCTCCATATCCAGGCCAAGGAAAAGGCTTGCCATTGCCTGCACCAGGCCATCTAGCACTCCCAGAATGCAAACATGAAGCTCATGTCCTCCAGCAGACAGCTGTTGAAGTGCTAGTAGGCCGGCCCCAGGTACTTGGATTGTAGCATGACCTAAACATAGACAAGGTGGTGCGGTGGGCCAGTAGGGGGTGCTTCTGCATTGAGCCACCCATCTCACTGCACCCGACCACCTTCCAGGCTCTGAGTGCCTCCCTGGGGGTGCCTCACGTCTGGCCGACCCCCTTCCTGAAGCACACCCACTAGTCTGGGGATAACTCTGCCACCACCCAGGGATGGGCTTGATTCTGGCTCTGTGCACCCTGGAAAACACAGGCCTAGTAGCTCTCGAGGGTACTTGATTCACTTCAAGAACTTGGGATGCTTCCCTAAGTCAGAAGCACCAGTAGTGGTCTCTCTTAGTCAGCTGAACCAAGGGGACCCCAAGGCATAACCTAGACCCACTCCCAATAAGTTTCCCATGCTAGGTACAAAGGAGAACTTTATTGGTTACAAGGGGTGGGGTTGGAATAGGGTACACAGTAGAGCAATATCAGAGAAATCCCATAGAGCAAACTGGCATGACTGGGTAGTCTTTGATCACACATCTGAGTTACTGCAAGCTATATA